GGGGGGGAACACGGTGTGGCCCCGCGGAAGACTCGTCGGACTGCGGGAGTTCCGGTTGGATCGCAGGAGGTCCATTCACCGGTGCAGTCGCGCTCGTACGGCGGCTCAGAGGGCAGCTGAGGGAACCATCCCACCTGGTTCCGCCACCGTCCCGCGACAGTTCCACTTATCTCACTAGGTGGTTTAGAATATCTATCAACAAAAACATCGTTTATTTTCGATCAGCCCACACACTTCAGATTAGGAGGCATGTCGTCAGCAATATGTTCCGGACTGCCGCAAAGTTTGTACGGGACTGTGTGAAAGAAAAGATCCAGTGAAAATGGCACGCGAAATCGCTGAGCGGAATCTACCACTCTACCTCGCCTATACAAAGAGCTAGAGACGTTGATACGATAGACCGGGTGATAACCTATTGATGGACACATTCTATTTATGGTACCTCCATCTCCGATGAAACAGCACTTCTAAGGAATGCCTGAGGAGATTGTTTCCACAGAACATTGTTAAAGGCAGTTGGCACGATGGTTTCCTACTTAGCCTAAAATGCTAGTAGGGCGCTGTATAGTGGGGAAATGGCGAAAGAACGGAGTGAAACGGTCAAAATCCTGCGAAGAAAAAGTTCTCAGTGACTTGTAAATCGATTTCGGACGAGTTTCCCGTAGGCATCTTACCAATCACCGCTACCGAAGATACGGCTGCATATGTGTACCCATGTATGCATGCAGCATCACGGCCGCTTCATACCAATCCCTTCGCTTCATAATGCTTAGCAAATGAATGAATACGAGCGTCAGGAACGGTCGTCCATTTGTGGGCGGGCGGGCGTGGCGGGCGTTTGGGACGTAAAGTTGTGGCTTGATAGGGCCCTTATAAGGGCACCTTCCTCGGGGAAACCGCTATGCAGCGCCTGCCCAGGGTCGCGGAATTCTATCCTGCCAGGAGTATTGATCCTAGTCGTCTTGGGGGATTTATCGTGCCAACTGCCTTTAATGTAGTTAATATTCCTTCCGACACCTCAAGCATCGCCTAGATCGCACATCTGGAACCCCCATGTTGTTAGTTCGCCCTACTGGCAATGAAGGGGTGACTGCAGTCGCAGGTGTGGTCCACAGTATCTTTTTCAAAATGTGGAGATGAATACATTGAATTCACACATGAATCGGCAGCTGGCTCAATGTGCGAATCAAGCAGCGTCTGGATGGCAACTCTAAACTGCGCGTATCGCTAGTCCTTCCGGTGGATATGATTGAGGTATGTTAGGTGAATTCACCGTATTTATTTGATGCACTGAGTTGGGTAGAAAGGCTGAGGGGTGTGTTCGATGCTAGTTCAGATAACACGTCCGGCTAACCCTTTCAGGCTCTGAAGAAGGA